ACCATTCCAATCACTAATTAACGGCCCTAATGATTAATTAACGGCTCTAATGATTAATTAACGTCTCTAATGATTAATTAACGCCGTTTTCTCCGTCCCAGCCCCCCCAGGACCCAGCCCTGACCCTGCCCTGTGTGAGGGAGCGGGTGTTACCCCACCTCGCTCTGGGGTCCCTCCTGGCGCGGCTGGGACTCTAATGATCAATTAACGTCTCTAACGATTAATTAACGGCGTTTTCTCCGTTCCAGCCCCCCCAGGGCCGTGCCCAGCGCCGTTCCCCGTGCCCCCAGCCCTGGCCCTGCGCTGCCTCCGCCGTTTATCCCTGTTAAGATGCCTGAGGGAGCGGGTCCTGCCCCACCCCCCAAATTAACCCCAAACCCGTCGTTAACGGTTCCAATCACTAATTAACGGCTCTAACGATTAATTAACGCCGTTTTCTCTGTTCCAGCCCCCCCAGGACCCAGCCCTGACCCTGCCCTGCCTGAGGGAGCGGGTGTTACCCCACCTCGCTCTGGGGTCCCTCCTGGCGCGGGTGGGACTCTAATGATTAATTAATGTCTCTAATGATTAATTAATGCCGTTTTCTCTGTTCCAGCCCCCCCAGGGCCGTGCCCAGCGCCGTTCCCCGTGCCCCCAGCCCTGGCCCTGCGCTGCCTCCGCCGTCTCTCGTTATTAAGATGCCTGAGGGAGCGGGTCCTGCCCCACCCGGCCCTGGGGTCCCTCCTGGGCTCTAATGATGAATTAATGTCTCTAATGATTAATTAACGGCCCTAATGATGAATTAACGTCTCTAACGATTAATTACCGCCGTTTTCTCCGTTCCAGCCCCCCCAGGGCCGTGCCCAGCGCCGTTCCCCGTGCCCCCAGCCCTGGCCCTGCGGGTGTTACCCCACCCCCCCAAATTAATCCCAAACCCGTCATTAACGGTTCCAGTCACTAATTAACGGTTCTAATGATCAATTAACGTCTCTAACGATTAATTACCGCCGTTTTCTCTGTTCCAGCCCCCCCAGGACCCAGCCCTGGCCCTGCCCTGTCTGAGGGAGCGGGTGTTACCCCACCCCGCTCTGGGGTCCCTCCTGGGCTCTAATGATTAATTAATGTCTCTAATGATCAATTAACGTCTCTAACGATTAATTAACGCCGTTTTCTCTGTTCCAACCCCCCCAGGACCCAGCCCTGGCCCTGCCCTGTCTGAGGGAGCGGGTGTTACCCCACCCCCCCAAATTAACCCCAAACCCATCGTTAATGGTTCCAATCACTAATTAACGGCTCTAACGATTAATTAACGCCGTTTTCTCTGTTCCAGCCCCCCCAGGACCCAGCCCTGGCCCTGCCCTGTCTGAGGGAGCGGGTCCTGCCCCACCCGGCTCTGGGGTCCCTCCTGGCGCGGGTGGGACTCTAATGATTAATTAATGTCTCTAATGATTAATTAGCGCCGTTTTCTCTGTTCCAGCCCCCCCAGGGCCGTGCCCAGCGCCGTTCCCCGTGCCCCCAGCCCTGGCCCTGCGCTGCCTCCGCCGTCTGTCCCTCCTGAGATGCCTGAGGGAGCGGGTCCTGCCCCACCCCAAATTAACCCCAAACCAACCCCAAACCAGTCATTAACGACTCTAATGATTAATTAACGTCTCTAATGATTAATTACCGCCGTTTTCTCTGTTCCAGCCCCCCCAGGACCCAGCCCTGGCCCTGCCCTGTCTGAGGGAGCGGGTCCTGCCCCACCCGGCTCTGGGGTCCCTCCTGGGCTCTAATGATTAATTAATGTCTCTAATGATTAATTAATGTCTCTAATGATCAATTAACGTCTCTAACGATTAATTACCGCCGTTTTCTCCGTTCCAGCCCCCCCAGGACCCAGCCCTGGCCCTGCCCTGTCTGAGGGAGCGGGTGTTACCCCACCCCCCCAAATTAACCCCAAACCCGTCATTAACGGTTCCAGTCACTAATTAACGGTTCTAATGATTAATTAACGTCTCTAATGATTAATTAACGACTCTAATGATTAATTAACGTCTCTAATGATTAATTAACGCCGTTTTCTCCGTTCCAGCCCCCCCAGGACCCAGCCCTGGCCCTGCCCTG